GGGCGTCACTTATCCTCGAGACACGAGTGCGCGGCCCCTTCTGCGCGTGTGTCCGCGTGGCCTGTCACATAATGAAATCGCCTGTCAAAACAGAACGAGACTCTGTTTCCAAGGCCTAAAAAATTGATTTTTATGGCTCTTCTTGTAATTCTGTTTTTGAATTAGGCACATGATATTGATGTGGGCCTACGTTTTAATCATAATAGCGTCTGACAAGGTAATTAATTTTAAAACAACTTTTTTCTCTTGGTCCAAATGGCACTATATTGAAATTAAAAGTGAGTGCTGTGAGGGCCGCAGGCCTGGCACTCAGGTGATTGCCGCGGCCGTGACAGCCCGTCCATCTTGCGCCACCATGCGACCTTTGGAAATGGTGGTTATTGATGAGTGCGGGCCATTACATCAAAAGGAGTTGGGCATGGAAATGTGATATAGTTTAGGTTTTTAATGATAGTATTACAAGAATCCAGCCCTACTGACAGAATCCCTGTCATCGGCGTGGCTCCGCGGGGGGCAGGACCAGCGCGGCCAGGGTGTCCTGTGTACCGTGGGGGCAGGAAAGGCCCCGCCATCCAGGAGAGCCTTAGGAAGTGAGCGTTTCCTCTCATAGATGCCCTGGAGCTTTTCGGAGTTTGTTCAGTCAGATATTAAATTGGAAGTTTATTGGGTTTTGAGGAAGGGACTTATCTCCCGATGTGCTCTGCCGTTTGATTAGCCGATGGTTGTTTGCTTCCACGGTCCATTCCCAGGGCACCAGCTGCTTGCAACCCTGTGCAGCCGTCCGTCCTTGCAGGCCGGGACCGTCGGCTCAGCCCTGTGTGCCTTGAGCCTCATGAGGACCTGGGTGGCCCGCATCCAGCGCCCGCCCCCCCGGAGGCCCTGTGCACTTGAGCCCGGGGTCTCTGCTGTCCTGCGATGCTCTTCTCCCGCACGCTGGAACCCCAGGCTTGGATCTGACTTCCTTCGTTCCTGTCGTCCCGTGTGTCTGTGGGCAGTTGCTCCCGCCATGGCCTCCATGCGTCCTGGACCCAGAGCGGCCTGGTGACTCCAGTGGCTTCACACGCCTTCTGAACGTTCATTGATCCCAGAAAACATGAAGTGCTTGCCTTGTCCCAGCACAGGGCTTGACGGTGGTTTCCAGCAAATTGTACAGAGCAGATTAGGCTTCTTCAGGCAGAGACTTAATGTGACGGTATCGGCTCACAGACGGCTAAGAATGGACGGGCACGTGTGAACTGTCTTCCCTGCTCTGATTAGTCTCCTAAGGCTGTGGGGATGGAGGAAGAATCCTTGGTAAGAGATGGACTCTGCACACACATGACATGTGTGCACACGCCCCACACGTGTGCTGCATCTGCACATACGAACACATCTGTACACAGCACACATGCATCTCCGTGTCATGTTTCTGCGGTCACCCACTGTTTCCCTCAAGCTCCGTGCTTGCAGTCCCCCAGGAGCAAATGTGCAGAGCGAGTGGGGTTGTGAGTCTGACCCGCGGATCGTGTTCTCCGGAGCCTCCTCAAGGAAGGCAAGTGTTCTGTGCTTTTTAGCAGATAGAAGCTGATGAATCATTAAAATAATATGTGTAGATTCTCTGACACTTAGAGGGAGCAGGACCGCACTCCTCCCTTCAGCAAGAGCAAGCCGGAATGTGGTTTGGTTTAACTTTTCTCAAAAATATAAAAAGTTTTAAAAAAAGAAAGGAGAAATGCATTTGAGAGGCGTGAGGTCATGCGTGCTGGCTGGGAGGAGGCCAGGGTGCGTGGCCCCCGGGACCCCAGGCGCGGTGCTGACATTCTGCTCGCCACGTGCTCGCCTGCTCCCAGTGACCAGCCAGCGCCCAGTGTGAGCAGCAGAAGAGCATTTGGAAACCGTCCTGTGAACAGCATTCCTTCTGACCCCAGAGACCCCTTGACTTTGACAGCGCCCACCCGGCCTTTGTATCTCCAGGCCTTGGCGGAACGATGCCCAAGGAGCCAGCCTGGCCAGGTGGCTCTGCCTCTGGTGAGGGAGCCTCACTGGGAGTGGGCTGCCTGGGGAGAAGCAGGTGAGGGGCAGCGTGGGGGGAACAGTGGGGCCCTGAGACCGGAGGCTGGGCAGTTCCGGCGGGATCGCGGAGCCATCGCAGAGCAGCCACCTCCCAGTACAACACGCACAACTGCATTTTGCTGAGGGGACTCTGTGCCTCCTTGGGACACCTGCCTCGTGTGGGAATTCCTAGGGACAGGTGCCCTCAGGGCAACAGGCATCTCTGTGTGACCTCAGAAAACAGAAATCAGTCCCTGTAATAAGCTGTGAATGATGCCGGTTTGGGTTTTTAAAAACAATGTGATTGAACCCCAATGATTGTATTCTTTCCGCGTGTACCTGGACCCAGGAGGGCCTGCCCGCGGCAGCACCAGGACCGTGTGAGGGGCCCTTAGTTCTCGGGGCTGGGACAGCCTTCTTTCCTGTTGGGTCTGCTGTGCACCTGACCTGCACCCCTGTGTCCGCGAGGCTGGGGACCAGGAAGCCCGTGCTGCAGGTGTCCTGATGTGGGGACGCCCTGAGACCTTTCTAGGCACCCTACACACGTTCTCTAAGGAGTTTTCTTTTCTGAAGATGTTTAACAGCAGAAGAAGCTTTAGTCTCTCCAGGACAGGAGAGGTGGCAGGCTTCCTGCCGACAGGAGTCCCGTGCGGGGCTGAGGGAGGGAAGGAAGGGCGGCAGCAGTGGTCCTGGGCACACTGGTGAGCCCATGGGCCAGGTCAGCACCCCTGACACTTCTATTCTTGAGTGGTATTTCCTTGATAGAAAAGTTTAATTTATAACAAGTAAAGGAAACTGCTGGTCGTCTGCACTAATCCATTAAGTATGTCCTTTGTTCTCAAATTCATGTATAAATTGAAAGTTATTCCAATTAAAAAGGAAAACAGGATGTTTTGTGGAATGTAACTAGATGATACAGTGATTAAAACGGGAGAGAAATATGAAAATAGCCGGTATATTTTTGAAGGAACCGTCCGCAGGAAGGGCATCCCTGTGGAAAGTCTTACTGCTTGCCGGTGTGCGGGGTGGGTGACGGTGTGCGGGGTCGGTGACGGTGTGCAGAGAAGGACGCAGGGCCTCAGAAAGGCCCGTGTGATTTGGGGAATTCCATGCTCCATGGACTGACTAGGAAGAGAATTGAATGTTTAACAAATGGAGCTTATGATTGACCGCCGGGAACATCGGTACCCTGAGATCCTGACATCACACTGTGATTCCAGACGGATCGGAGGCTGACATGGAGCTCTGCTGTGAGGGTGGGAGAAGGAGAGCCGTCCTCGGCCCGGGGCTGGGCGGGCCTTCTGGGGACGACGCCTGCTGCCTGCGCGAGGGTAAAAGCTCACTCTCAGCAGAAGGCCCCGTGAACAGCCTGGAGACCCCAGCCACAGACCAGAGGGTGGATTCTCACCGGTTCCTAGGGAGGCTCCTGGGATTCAAGAAGAAAGTGGCAAGAAACTGAAAAGAAAACAGGCCGGAAATAAGTGGGAACAGAAAATGCAGTTCAACAAGTACCTGACCAGGCGGGCGGCCACGTGTGGCCTTGTGTGGCCTCATGTGGCCTCGTGTGGTGAGGGCAGGGAGGGCGCAGAGGGGTGCAGATTCAAGCAGAAATGCAGCTTGTCTCCGTGGATGGGACGGGTTGACGGTGTTGGCAGGCACCGTTAGGCATCTGCGAGCTACCGGGACTCCAGGACCCCACGTACCCCCCAGGCCCCCCACCCCTCACTCCCAGGAGGGCAGCAGCCACGGCTGGCAGAGACCTTTCCTGTGACCCAGGAGAACATTGCAGAGCCAGGCAGGGTGGCACATGGTCCTTGCTTGGTCCTTTCTTCTGTTTCTCAAGCTAATGAATCAAGTGAGGAGACCAAGTCAGTGGTAAGCAGTGCCTGAGGCAGGGGGACACGGCGCCCGAGGCAGGGGGACACGGCGCCCAAGCATGACATCCAGGCTGGCCCAGGCACCGCTCGCACAGAGAGGCATTACCAGGTGGATTGGGGATGCACCAGGTTTCTTGGTAACCAGTGGAAGTTTCCAAGTTAACCTGATTAAGACTTTGCCCCGGCCTCTGCCTGCCTGATGACGTTTGGGATGTGCCCTCCGCCCTGTGCCCTGCAGCCTCGCCGCTCTGTCCTAGCAAGTGTGTGAGCAGAGCCATGGCCAGGCAGTGATGTGGGAGCCTTGCTCCCTGACCGTCCCTTCCTCTGCACCGAGCACACGTTCTGCTCTGCGGGTTGTCTAGTTAGCGGTGGTCCGAGTTCTGCTCTCCAATCGGAAGAACCCGGCACTTTGCTTTGCCTCCAGAAGCAAACAGTGGTCATTAATCGTGCTGCTGCCATGTTGGGGTGGGTGGAGGGAGCGGTCTTCTGCCTGCCCGTGAGGGAAGAGGGGTCTGTGAGGCGGCTGCTGGCTGACCTGGAGGCTGTCACGCTTGCCGTGTGTGCGTGTCTCAGTGGAAAAATGGGAGAGGGATTGTGGTCAATTTAAAATAGGTGGAAAAGATGTTTCCAAGCAGGCGGTGCCTCAGTTAAAAAAAAAAAAGATGCAGTTGCTCTGCTTTTATGCCTTTGAAACATGGAAATGGGGCCAATACGTAAACACTTCCAGAGCAAGCTCAAACGTACGTCCTGCCTGGGAGGAGTTGTGGAGGCGCCCGGCAGAGGCCCTGGCCAGCGGTCCTTCCCCGGTGTCCCGACCCTGTGCCCCTGTGAGAGCCCCCTACCCGGCCCTCGTTCTTCCCACGTGCAGGCTGGACCTCCCACCAGATGTGGTTTCCACGCCCAGCTGGCCCACTTGTGAGGACACCCTGGTGGCATGCACGTGTCAGCGTGGAGAGAACTGCGCGTGTCTGGTGGGCGTGCGGCGTGGTCACTGTGCTGCTTGGGAGTGCGTGGAAGGCACTTGTGAGGGGCGCGTGGTGGAAGGGAGGCTGGTTGGCGTGCCGGTAACGTTGTCCCCTTCTCTCCTCCCAGAATCATCGACCAGCGATTCGAGAACGTGTCCTACTTTGTGTTTGGCGATTTCAACTTCCGGCTGGACTCCAAGTCCGTGGTGGAGGTAGGTACCGGCTCCCAGCCTCGTCAGGAGCCCGTAGTCGGGGTTTTAACCAAAGCTGCAGAGTCAGGGTCTGCCCCTCCCGGGCAAGTTCAGCCCTGTCCTTCTCACGGCTTGTATTTAGGGCAAATATTCCCAATAAGGAGGTTTTCCTGTCAAAAGGGGGGCTGTTACTGGACATAGAAACGGACAGAGTCCCGCAGACTTCTGCAGCTGCTCAAGTGGTCGTTGCCCATGTGGGGACGCCATGTCCTGCTGGGAAGGTTCCGCCGTCTGCTGTTGAAAAGCGGACAAGCCAGTGGGAAGAAGTGGCTGGAGGGGCTGCTTCGTCAGCTTCCTCATTGGGAGTGCCGGAAACCCGTCTTTCACTGAAAATTCGTGGATGTCGCTCAATCCCCAGGGGCCTGGAGGCCGTGTGTCTCCTGGGTGCACCCACGGGGCCCCTGGCGGGATGCCCCGCTAAGAACAGGTACAGACGGAAAGCCTCGGCCCTGCCCCATCCCAGCCGTGTGACCTTGGAGCATCACCTCTGCGGCTGGGAAGGGGGGGCCTGTGGCTCTGGCTCAGGGTGCACCCCTGCCCCCTGCAGCAGTGACTGCAGTCCCAAAACCAGCTGCAGCAAAGGGGAGCCCAGCCCAGCCCCCGCCACCACGCCTGCACGGGCATGCCGGCGGACCACGCCAGGTGTGCAGCACACCCCAGTGGAGACCTGGGGGCCGTCCAAGCCATCACCTTCCCGTCAACGTCCATCATCCGTCCTCTGCAGAAGCGGTTCCTTATAGTCAGCCAGGGTGGCTGCCCATCATTCCAGAGCTCCCTGTGGCTGACAGACATGAGTAATGTACGGAAATTCTCTTCTTTCATAATGTAATGAATCCGATGGCACCCCACTGCGCGGGCTCACGGGGCATACGGGTGGTCACATGCCACATGCCGGGAGAGCGTGGGGCACCCCGCCACGAGCATTTCGGGCGGATAAGTGAATCCCGCCAGGATTTTGAGATCCTTTGCTTGGTTCTGTTAGTTTTCCTTTCCTCACTTGGCAGGGGGGAAGCGGCAAGTCCATCAGATCCCAGGCCCTCCAGCGAGCCCAGGAGCTCGTCGGTCTTGTTGAAATGCTATTTCTAGGCTAGGATTCAGATTTTCAGGAGAAGTGGAATAGCACACATATGCCTGCCCCTCCTGGACCCCACAGGGCGCTGTGCGGGGGCCCCAGCCTCATCCTCGGTCAACCTGGCTGGCCCTGGCCCAGCAGCTCGGGGTCCTGCCCCCATCCCCCACCCGGGGCAGTCAGCTGGCCCACCGCCAGCCGAGGAGACAAGGGGATGCAGGGAGGTGGGGCCGCCTGCACTAGCGGAGCTCAGATGGTGAGAAGCTCCGTTCTCACGTCTGCCCCTCCCACCTGCGGGACGTCAGGCGCAAAGTACGGTTTTAAGTACCGGGAAGAGTATGTGCGTTTCTGTGGTCCCTCCTTTGAGGAGGTCAGTTAATACATTACCACTACGTTCTAGCTTAAACATTTCTACGTATCCGTCCAGGTCCTGCCGAGTGCTCTGCTAGGAGGCCCCACAGTGGTGGTGCTGGGGAGGCACAGGGGCCCAGGGCGCGTAGTGGGGAGACAGAGGGCTCCCGGTGTAGACGGAGGGTGTGGGAGGTCACAGAGGCGGCACCAGCGCAAATGCTTCTCAGCAGCTCATCGTCACTGCGTGGCCTCTCCCAGCCCCCTGCCCTCGCTGTGTCCCCTTGCCTTGGGGCCCATCCGAAATCCAGCTTCATCTCAAGGTCCTCAACTAATTACATCTGCAAAGACCCTTCTTCAGAATAAGGTCCCGTTCTGAGGTCTGGGTGGACACAAATTTGGGGGGGACTCTTCAACCCGTGACGGCCCATAACACCAGAGCGACACGTCTCCCCTGCATTCGAAAGACTGAACGCTAAACAGTAAACACGCTTCTTGGCAAACGTTTACCTGAAGATAAGTTCAACTGAAAAAGAACAAATTTCTTTTACTGGTGACTAATTTCAGTGGTGCCAGTTAAGCTGTCTTTAGTTACCAAATTTTAAAATACCGCGTAAGCACCTCTTTTGGAAACTCAGAATCTGCTAATGGCTTGGCTTCACTTTTTAAAAAAGGGTTTTCACTGTAAAAACAAGAGAAATTTTGTGGGAACCCTGAGAGTCAGAGTCAGCCTGAGCTCCGTGGTCGGGCCCTCAAGAAGATGGCTGAGGAGAGGTGTTCAGGAAGCCCAGGCGCCCTGAGTCCGGCCCTGGCAAATGCAGATTCAGGGCCCGCCACCCTGAGGGCCAGGCTCTCAACCAGGCCTCTGACCCACTTCCCTTTGCTTTTAATTGTCTCCCAAATTGTCTAGTGAGCCTGTGACGGGACCATCAGGCACGGCTTCCTGTCGGGACAGTGTCACGGGAACTTGTTAGAAACACTCGTCCTCAGGGCCCCTTTGTGGAGACGCTCGTTACATTGAGCCTCGTGCATCTCGGCGTCCCCTGGGGCACCCCGGCCGCGCTGCCTCGGGGGACAGGATCTGCAGGTGCACACACGGGACACCTGCCGAGCTTCTCACCTCTGAGCTGGACTGTGCCGGGGGCAGCCCTGTGACGGTCACGATGTTTCCGGAGCCCTCGTGGGAGGCTGCCCTGTGTTATTAGATGGAAGGACATGGGGTCCCGGGGGTCGTCAGGCTCTGCTGCACCACAAACTGCGGTTTGTTTTCGGCAGGCTGCGTGGGTGGTTCTGCTTCACAGACGCCCGTGGCTGGGTTGGAGACTCCGATTCTGGTTGCCGCTTTCCAGCCGGCTACTCCAAGCCGGTGTCTCTCCCTCAGCGGTCCAGTGGGTGTTTCCCACGTGCCTGCCGGTGCCCTGGGGTGAACACAGGGCACGGCCCCCATGGTGATGGCCTGGGTGCCAGGAGAGTTGTGGGGACCGGGTCTGCCTAGCAGGTGGGACACTTGAGTCTGCTCTTCCTGATGGGCCTTTCCGTCCATTCCCTGCCCCCCAGGAGTCAAAACAGCAACCTGAGAGCAGTGTCCTCCAGAGCGTCTGCTTCCCGGGACCCTGTGCTCAGAAGCCCCTGCCTTTTGCAGGACAGCCCTGTTTTGGATGCAGCTGTGTCTGTGGACCTTAGTATCAGCCAGAGGCCAGCAGGGCATGTTTTGGGCTGGGGTCTCCTGTGGGCAAGGCCTGGCTGGAAGCTGTGGGGTCTTGTCCGGTTCTCAAGTGTAGTCTGGGGGCGTCCGTGAGATTGGCACACGGCACTGGGGTGTGGGCAGCCAGGAGGAGGAAGCCCGGATGAGTGCAGGCTGTCCTCTGTGCATCCGCCACCAGGGGCCCAGAGTGCTCTCTGCCCCTCTGTGGGGCTGAGGAGGTGAGTGGGGTCCCCAGCCTCTCCTTCCAAACCACAGCATGGCCCAGGAAAGACACAGATCCGAAGGAAGCAGTGGGGCTTGACCCACACTGCCCACCACTGGCCTGGGCCTGGCACTGTCCCTCCTCCTCTCCACCTGGGTGGACGGGCGGACGGCCCTCAGCAGTGACCCCCCCTTGGAACAGCCGCTTGTGGACACCCACACTCCGTGCTCACAGACCAGGTCCTGGGGTGGGGGGAGAAGGCCGTGCCGACCTCGACCCTTGGTTCTGGAGGAGGAGCCCACGCATGGTTTTAAGATTGTCTGAGGTCAGCGTGGCTGCTGACCAGGAATGCCCTGGACAGTGCCGTGTCTGCGTGTGGTAGGAAGGCCTAAGGAGGGCGATGGGAACACGCCTCCTGCCTGACGGGGACTTGTGCAAACACCACAGTTGCTTCGTCCACCCGGCGGGTCTCTTCCCTTGCAGCGCTCCCCTGAGAAGCCGCTGCCTGATTCGGCTTTGGGTTTGCTTGCTGATGCCCCAGCTGGAGCGGCAAGGTCAGCCTCCCTGGACCTGGGGCAGCGCGCACACTGGCGGGAGTCATCAGAGGTTAAGTCAATCTGCCTCTGAAACAATGAGGGGCCAGTGAGCGGCTTGCGGCTGCGGCCGCTGTGAGGGACAGGCTGTGATTGTCCGTCCGGTGGCCGGGGGCGGGGGGGGCGCCTCCCGGGTGGGGGTCAGTCAGGCCCGAGCAGGATGGGGAGACCTTGTCGCGGCGAGCGGGGAGGGGGCAGGGTCCGCTGATGCAGAGGGAGAGGACCCCAGCCCCGGGAACTGGCAGCCTCCTGTTTCAGACGCACACGGATGCCCGTGAGCTTGCAGAGCAGAACTGAGAAGACAGTTCTGGGAGCAAACTTGGCGCTGCCGCTGGAGCCGTAATTAAAGCACACATTAGACAGGGTCGTCACGTGCCGACTGATGGGCCGCGCGTCACGAAGCGGATTATTAACGCGGCCTCCGGCTCAGCCCTGCGGGTGGGACTGCGCGGAGGGTATGTTTTACGCCTTGTGCGGTGGCTGCGAGCAGCTGGGGCGCTCAGCTGGCCTCAGTGACAAAGGGCGACAGCGGTGCCAGGCGCTCCCGTCTCTGCCCGGCCGCGCCCACCTGCCGTCCTTCATCCCTGACAGCGATGCTGACGCATGTGCTTCTGGAGGCTGGCGGCCGTTTCAAAACCAGTTGTCAGTGAGTGACATGTGCGCGCGCGCTCAGGTGCCAGGTGGGCCTGTCAGAACATGGGTCCTGTGAGGCCCGTCTGGGAGGGGCGCCCCCAGCACTGATGGCGCCGGCCTTGGAAGGGGCCAGAAGGACCCACGGCAGAGCCAGCCCACTGCATCCCGAAACCGCTGAAGACCCCAGCCAGCAGCCGGGGTGCAGCCAGCTCCCCAGTGCCCAGAGCCCCGTCCCCAGACCGCAGACTTCGCTGCCGCCAGCCTCCTTCCCTCAGGTGCTCCCACGTCCTGGGGAAGGCGCTCCCACTCGGCCTGGAGGGGGCATCGCCCTGTCACGGCCTGTGCCAGCCCTATGGAGGCCCTCCAAGATCCAGCAGCCAGGAAGGTCGCCGTGCTGACACCGAGAGCAGG